GATATTTACAGTTAAATTTACACTATTAAATAAGAAATTTCATATTCTCCACCTCTGGGTAATTTTATAGCCAGAGGTAGATCCAGTGCCGCGTGAGCGCAATTCTCGCACAAACTTCGCTTTTCCGATCTTATGAAAATGTGCGTCAGAAAAAAAACTCGGCATCCAGAGGGTTAAGCAATTCAAACTACCCCTGATTTCATAGTGGACGGGGAATTAGGGAGATACCCATTAAACATCCATGTTAAGTTAAGAATGGTATCATATTGGTGCAAATTAGTTCTGTCAGAAACCAAATTATCAAACTTATGTTCAAACTCCAAATTGCCCACCCAGAGTTTAATTTCACACTTGTAAATGAAATCCAACGTATTTTACAAAGTACAGGTCTGAATCACATTTGTCTGTCTCAGGAATTTCCCAGTGTACAATGCCTAACGTCAAAACTGTCCTTATAGATCAATTTTTACAAAGCTGGAGGAGTAGTAAAGTAAATTCCTCAAAAGGACATAATTATAATCTGTATAAAGATATCCTCTCAGTAGAAGACTACTTATTGTATTTACCTCATAATTTACGCATCTAGCTTACTAAAATCAGAACCACCAACATCCGTCTCCCAATTGAAACTGGCCGATGGTATAACCTCAATAGGGAAGATAGGCTTTGCTCTCTTTGTAAAAATAAAATTGGTGATGAATTCCATTTTATACTAGAATGCCATGAATTGGATGATTTAAGAAATAAAGATATCCCATTATATTATTGTAAATATCCAAATACTGAAAGATTTGTTTCACTTATGACTTGTTCTTATAAACCTCTCCTCTTACGACTAGCCCTGTATGTAAAATATGGACTGCCTATGCTCCACTAACTATTGTCTCATTTCTTTGTATATATGTCTCTCTTGTCAACTTCTATATGTCACCTAGGTGATTCATGAGACATAGAGAATCTCACCCAAGTGTCTTTTGATATCAAATATATCAACACGTGTTGATAAAAGTGGAAAAATTCCGAGGCTTGCCGAGGATTTTTGCCATTTTTATCAACGAGTGTTGATATATTTGATATCAAAAGACACGAGGGTGAGATTTTATTTATCATCCAACATCATTCTTCCAACTTTTTCAATTTGTAGACAGTAGTTAGCAGTGTCTTCAGTGTAAAAAGTACTGCCAACAGCTTCAGTAGCAGAGCTGTTAGTGATGTCATTTGATCGTGACGTCACAATGATCTGCAAAGCATTGTGATGTAATTTCATTGCAGCGATATCTACAGTGCATTCGTCACCATTCGCCCCTTTCCGTAGCCTGCAAGAAGACTCGTCCCCCTATCGATGAATGTTATGTGCGAAAATACGACAAACCAATCAGAATGCGCGTATGAATTCAAGTTCTTCGTCAAAGAATCCCTCAGAAATAATTTTTGATTTTACATATGTCTTGCATCTAAAAATATACCCAAGACACAGTTAAATGTGTTCAATCATACTGTATTATTTCGCATGTCCCGATGTGCTTTAAATTGTATCTGAAATATATATAATATATGGGGAAAGATGTGTGAACCATTACGCAACGAGTTGACAAATGTTTTAGGTATGCCCGTTTGCGCTAAGACGGAACCCGGTCGCAAAAATGGCCATGAGAGGGGCACGAGTCGCTATTCGGCTTGTCCCGGAATAACACGAGTTGGTCACGAATGATCTACAGTGTAGATATAGAGATTACTACACGTGTGTCTATCAGATACCATTGATCTTACAACGAGTTGTAAGATCAATGGTATCTGACAGGCACGAGTACAGTAATCTGTTTCTTACACACCCTAAAATCGCATCTTTTTAGCATCGAACCGATGAATTTTGTCTATTCCCATGATTGCAGTAGCGCATAAATACATAACACCTCTGTCATAAGTGACGTCATCCTTTGTGCTGCTTACTACTCATAAATAATGTGATCCTACACAAAAAGGTTTCCGTCATATATGTGGATTATCAAGGCGATGATGAGAATGCAAACTAGACAAAAACCAAGAACACGCTGTGTGCCAAGTTGAAAGTTTACACCTCAAAGAAATTACCAAATATGTACAACAATGTTTACTTCCGTATGACATCACTACCGATGACCGACTTTTACAAAATGGCGTGTTCACTGACAACAGTACGCGGGATTTCCAGGGGCGGTTTCGTTGATTGAGGGATCGTATACACATAAATGTGTCACGTAAGTAATCAGAAACATTCTGACAATCTGCGTACTGTTATTTGTTTACCATGTTTTCGAATGTAACAAAGAGAATTAGTCAGAAATGCAGACAACTACCGTCATCGTGCGTGATTTAGCGTCAGTCATGGTGTCACACAGGACGGAAACTGTTACGGCTTCTGTTGAATTTACCACATCATTGTAATGTATATATGTGTAATTCCATAATTAGTGCATGGATACTCTTCCCATGAATATTCTCAAACGCTTGATGGAGCCAGTGTATGGAACAATTAGTCGAAAGTACCTCTAAAAATGAATTTTGCTTTGTTTACATTTCAGCAAGTACAGTTTGCCGAGCAGAGTTTTCGTTTCCATTCCTAATTTATTTCGCATGATTTCATCTAGATAATTTGCATTCGTGACAAGGACCATCTATCCATTGTTTCGGAAATGTATGAGGAATTCAGGGATGCATGTATAGCAGCTGAGTTTGAAATATACCTGATCGAATAGGCGTCTCATAACCGGCATTTTGTAAACACAATCCAATATGGCGGAACGTACACTTCGGCGTTTGTGTATGCGTATTTTCCAAAACATTCTAAACGATTCTAGGCTTATCAGCGACGTTTCAGAATTATCATTAGTGATGTGATACCCGTGATCACTAATATGCTATTTTTCTACTAATTATGAGTAAATATCCGATATTTAGATTTCTAAACACACAGTACATATTTATATAACGCCGTGAATTGTGATTTGGCGAGATTTACAATGTACCTAACTTTCAGTAATTTTGAATTGCCTAAAATGACAGTAAATGATAAACAGAAGGGGGAATTAAAAACTGTGAAGATTCTGCGTGATGTATTTTGAAATTTATTTGATTTCGAAGTGAGGGTTGAAGAGAAGGGACATAGATCTATGTGTCGCTGTGGCATCCAGGGGGTTTACACTCTCAAAAAACGATAATGTTGCCATAACAACAGATAATGTAACTGATAATAATAACAAACAAACTCGCAGACGAAGACGAGTTTGTTTATTTTTATTATTAATTACACGGTCTTGCTGTTCAATACAGACGTAGGTGAACATTCGACTGAAGCAACAGCTACTTATGAATGACTTACACTCAGGAAAGTAGTCCGTCATCATCTGACCCCAGGTCATCACCATGGAGTAGCCAATCACGGGCCTGGAATTCGATCTCACACATATGTTTGATACCAGTTATCTCAAATGGGTTAGGTCTTGGCAAAACCATTTCTTTTATATCTTGTCTCAGCATAATTGATAAATGGTTCTAAGCTTATGATGAAATTCGTGGACTTCAGTCAGCCGGCAGAAACATCAACCAACCTGAAGTCAATACAAAACTTCAACGCCATAGAATAACCAGTCTCGACTATCTACCGAAACAGATTTCATTGGGCGTAACAAGCGCAATGGAAGTCAAAATAGAAGTCATTACAGGTGATTGTTTGGCGGATAGTGATGCTCCTGCGTTTTGACCATTGACTACTCGTACACAGGATTGATAACTACATTGGCAGCAGTACTTTGATCAGGGTCACCGTATATGTCACGTACAGGCTGTGTCAGGACCGTGTCACCACAGAAAGTAAATGGTGATGTAATGCATAAAACCAACAACAAAAAAGACTGTAGGTCTCGATGGATTACCATTCAGAATCTCATTGCATAAAGTCAACACAACGCATAGCAAGCTATTGCTTTGCAGTTTTTGTATCAGCCTCTCAGAGGAATGAGGGACAGACAAGACTATTGTAAGTTGTTATCATATAAAAACATATCTCTTTATTCATTACCTGAGAAGGTATATGGAAGGGAATAAGAACATAGTTAGAGCATACTGACTTTGGAGAATAATGACATTGAGATCCCACAGAACTTGTATCGGTCATTTATACGTCTGTAATGTTGTAATTAACAGAAAGCTCATAATAATTTTTGTTTTGTTGATATCAAAAATCGCCTTTGACACAGTCGATCGTAACTGTTGCACAAATTGATGTCTCAGGTAAAATGGCACAATTTGCTGAAAGCTTATACCAAGACGTTAGGTGTTCCATTGGACTAAATGCTTATCATTATCTTTATGCTTGTCAGGGTGTTAAGCAGGGATGACAACTGTGACCAACCTTGTCTCTGTTTTTTCTCCTTGGCTGCTGGTCATGGGATACGAAGTTTTAAAATGTTTAACATGTTAATTATTGGGATCGTTTGTTAAATTATTGATGATTCTTACCCTCCATTGTAGAAACCAGCAGAAATACAACGTTGTCTGATATTTGTATATATTGTATAGATAATAACATCCATATATTTATTGTTGAATAATACTAATACATGAGTGCATTTGTTTAGTCCAACGTAAATTGTATAATGATTTGTTGTGTTGTCCTTTTCTGTTACACAGGCCCAATAAAATTGAAAATGTATTTCACGAAGTAATCACTCAAGTTAACTTCTTTCTTAATTTAGGGCCGGTCGGGTAGCCTAGTGGTTAAAGCGTTCGCTCGTCACGCCGAAGACCCGGGTTCGATTCCAGACATGGGTACAATGTGTGAAGCCCATTTCTGGTGTCCCCTGCCGTGATATTGCTTGAATATTGCTAAAAGCGGCGTAAAACCATACTCACTCACTCACTCTTTTTTAATTTAATCAACTTCTTTTTTACTATTATTCGTTCGTGGGTTAATTCATTAACTGCATGTCTTTGTGTGCTATAACCTGTTTTGCTTTTATCAGATGCAGGTACTCTGCTGCGTCTGGTTGGCAGTACAAATACCACCGCTGCATGGGGAAGACTGGAGGTTTACCATAACGGATCATGGGGGACCGTGTGTGATGACTCGTTCGACAGCAACGTTAACGGTGCCAAGGTAGCCTGTCACACGTTAGGCTATGCAAAGTGAGTTACATTATTATTATGGTATACAAGATCGTTTTTATTGGTAGGTGAAGTAAGATGAAATGGTTTAACGTCCCTTTTAAGGATTATTGCACTTAAATAGCGACGTCTGTGTGTCTTCCATCGATACACTTTCTGGAACATATTAACTTTCTGAAGCATCTTGACATTATCTTGAACAAAAGGCCTTTAATACAGACACAGATACTTCATCTGATTTTATTACATTATCATCTCTGATAACTTAACAGAAGTTAACAGAACCGTTGACAAGAAGTCAACCAAATTCTTCAAATAGAAACACAAACTTGTAAAAACATGTGTGGATACTAGGTAAATCCGCTTGCTTTTAGGTTCTGGTTTGCTGTTTTACGCCCCACTCAGCAATATTCCAGCTACTTGACGGCGGTCTGTAAATCATCGAGTCTGGACCAAACAATCCAGTGTTTGATATCATGAACATCGATCCACGCAATTGGGATACGATGACATGCTTCAACCAAGTCATCGAGCCTGACCACCCGATCCCGTTAGTCGCCTCCTACGATAGCATAGTCGCCTTTTACGGCAAGCATATGTTGCTGAAGACCTATTCTACCCCGGATCTTCTCGGGTCTAAATCCGCTTGCAATGTTGGCACATTGCGTCTTACGTCATAACACCATAGACACAAAAACATATTAAAGTCAATTCTAAGACATAGATACGTCAACGATAATAACTTCACAGATTTACAGAAAGACTTCATATAAAAGCTAAAACTGTAGACAACCACATTATTGAGTGACATTGCTTAGCGCAATAATGCAACACAAGGTCCGCCTATTCTAGTATCAGTCAATCAAAAAACAGTGCTCCGTTAGCATACTTTTCGGTTTATGAAGACATATACGCAAAAGACGCTGCATGGCTAGCCAATCAAATATCACAGAATCACCTGCAGTGTATACTGGGAACAATATATAAGGGAACACCCAAATTTATTTAGAAATGATATGTAAAGAAATGTCGTTGTTGAATTCAATCTTTGTTGTAAGGTCAATATCCCCGTGAGCATCGATGCAGGCACGCTTTTCTGGGCATTCTGGACATCGAATGCCGGATTGTCTCCCGTGGCATCCTTCGCCATTCGTCTTGTAAGGCCTGGCCAAGTTGCTGCAAATTCTGAGAACGCTTCGGCCCAGAATATCTCAAAGGTGTTGAATCGGTGACTTGTCTGGAGGTTTGGCTGGCCAGGACAATGTTGTGACACCTTGTTGTGACAAACTTCTGTGGAAGTCCTGAAGTTGTTCCTTAGTTCTGGCGCAGAAATGAATCTATTCTGCAGCGCAATATATCGATCGTGCCTGGGAGTAGTCTTTCTGGGCCTTCCTCTACTCACCCTACTCTTAACCCCACCCGTTTGCCGATATCGTTCCATCAGTCGGGATAGCACACTTTTAGTTTAACAAAGTGTCTGGCAGCTCCATCCTGTGATTGGCCAGCTATAATCATACCTACTGTGCGCAATGTTTCATTGTCTGTCAGGTACATTTTGGGTTCATTTTCCTTCTTTGTACCCGATCAATAAACCATGTGGTTGTGGCGTTTTTTGCCACATGCCAGTTACCAGGATGTGTCGACGGCATGCTATATATGCGCAATGTGCAAAGTTTGATCGAGTATGCTATCCACGCTCAGGAGCTGTGCCTCGTGCAACAAAAATGATCATTTCATTATTACTGCTGAAATGACTTGAGTTCCCTTAAATATTGTTCCTTGTATATTTATAACCCTATGTATCATGTAAGTCACGATTGGTTAACATACTCTCATAACTGATGTTCAATAAGGTGTGGCCTAGTGGATAGAGCGTCTGCACATAGAGCGCGTTATGGTACCCCTTGTTTGCCTGCCTGGCACTGAAGAGAATACAGGTAGTACAGGTGCTACAAATGTACTGCACAAAGAGAAAGACATAGTTAATGTAATCATTTATAAATTTCGCAATCGCAAACACAAAGTCAGCGATCTAACCCACTCATCCACCGAGGCTTCCACAGAAGCGAAAGTCCGACAATTGGTAGTCTAGATCATGTACTTTGAGTTTGTCATACAGTCATTCACTGGGAACCACAGGTGCTTACCATAGATTAAAAACATCAGTTTGTGTTTTATGATGATATCCCAGGAATGTTAGCAATTATATTGTTAAAATCCTTATAGAGCCAATAATATAATTGTGAAGTTTTGGGTGTAAATTTTGCAATGGTAAAACATATTTCTTCCAGAAACACTTTTTACACTCTGTAAAAAGGAAAAATTCTTAACAATGTTTACCAACAGTTATCAAGAATCAATGTCCAAGATCTGTTTTCATATCTAAAATTATAAATAAATTTCGTGTATGTACAACATGACCCTAGTTTTGCTCAATTCTCATATTGTTTCCATATCATTAAAATACACCTGTTTTAAAATGAAATTGTTATAATGTACCTCTTTTGAATGTTGAATGTCCTAGTGTGTTTTGTAATAAGGCGCTGCCAATCGCTATTTGCGCAGAGTTGCGTTCTTTGGGCACGCTAGAAACATATGGCAGTGTCACGGTTCGCCCCGATTATGTTTCTAGGTTTGTCAGCACAATATATATCCATCCTCTGTGGTTTCACCAAAGTGGTGAATGTCTAAGACCTGTATCACTTCGGGCTTTCCTCCAACATCAAGCTGACACGCCGAGATATAACTGGAATACTATTCAAAGCGTCGTTAAACGCACCTCACTCACCCACTCACTCATTACTGTTCTGTACGGTCCCATTTGGTAAGCTGGGTGCTGTGATTACTTCCGGTTTAGATTTTAAGTATGTTCAGGAGAATGTTTCTATGTTCAACCCAACATCGTGAATATCATGGAACCGAATTATTTTTAGGAAAATACTTGCAAACTACAGACCAACCTGTTGATTTCCTATGTATCCAGAAGTAAAGAACATATACGGGTGTATAACCTCTGCCGGAAGTTTTAAAAAACCCATCAAAGCAATAAACCAGGTAGAACCGTAAACCACCACATGAAACGGTATGAATCATACATTACATACTGACGAGTAGGTGAATTACTGTGAAACAATACTGTGTTCAACTATGCACAGCAAACACAATACATATGATTATGAAGACAACCAATTACACAGTTCTCACATCAAACCCGTTGTTTTACAAGTGTTTTCAAAAAAACAAAATCATACTTTAAAGAAGCCTGGTATTTAATCGTGTTGACCAATAAGTTGCAATAGCAGCGTGGAAGGAGAAAGATTGAGTGCGCGTTACATGCTTGACCTGAATTTCTTGCGGTGGCTGCCTGAATAACATACAATACATTGCAAAGGTAGTGCGCAATAGAGCTATTCGGTAAAGGGAAATAATCACCCACTTTCCAAACCTACGGCAGCTTACAGCTTGAAAAAGATACGATGTACAGTATTGCAAGGTCAGTGCGTGATAATACTACATACTACGCCTATAGCAAAAGAAGATACTCGCTCAATGCGCAATAGTTTATTCTTACAGAACATAAACCGTTATGGCTTTTTTAAAAAACAAAATGAACAAATTGCATGCATTATCTACATTACGAAACATAATTTAGTCACAGAATGTGACAGGCGATTGGTTAAAACATGTCCAGATTAAGTCACTCTCATTTCATTTGGAGTTTGGAGAAACCAAAATGGCGCCCTTCTTCAGTCAAAAACAAACTAACCCTTACACTTCCCCGCCGTCAGGGCGTGGAAGATGAAAAATACAGGTATTTCGTTCACCCGTCTTCTGTGTCTGTGCGATTTCAAATAGGGACGGGCGATGCACAAAGCGCCAAGACATAAGCTCATCTAAGGTTTGAGGCCTGACTAGTAACCCAAAACCCAGAAAATGTCCCCATCATATGTAAAATTTAATCAAAAGAAGCAAACAATTCATATTTACGTTTTGGCGTAATTTGCATTACAGCTTATGTGTTTTTCAATAACCGAAAGGTTTTGTTCTTCATTTTATTTCGAACTATCATTTACGGCATCATTTCATAATATGCATACATGATATTCTCACAAAATAAACATAGCATGAATATTATAAACGGGAACCACTGTGTACTATTATTCATCTGATGGCCTCAAGATTCAGTCGCTGATCACATGACGATCGTTTCTACTCAACCAGGACTATATTGACCCGTTTCCTATTCAGTATTAAATGCATAATTAAGCAGACAATCGGTTTCTACCCAACCAGAAACTTTACCGTTTAAAATTTAAAATTGTACTTGTTCTTTTTTTAAAACATAAGTATCTGATCAGATTCTACAGACTGACATTGTACTAAGATATTTATTTTGTACTCATCAATAACTCAATAACTCCGGGCGCGATGTTTGTGTTCATAACAAAATTTATTTTTGCAGCGGGAATAGGAAAAGCGAACATACGCACAGCTTGTGAGAACAGCATTTGTGCTGGAAAATACAAAATGTGTAGCGATGTTCAATCCACATAAACGTGAATTTACAGTCGCTATTCATTAAACCTATATCTACATCAGTTGTGTGTGTTATTAATCTTTATGGATGTCTTTTCAATTTTAATCATTTGTAAAACAACAAGTGCATGTTTGTAGATCAGGAGCAAGGCCACTGACGAACGTTGTAAGTGGAACGGGTCCTATTCTCTTGGATGACGTGGTCTGTACTGGGCAGGAATGGGACATAGACGATTGCAATCACCTGCCATGGGGAATGCACAATTGTGGTCACGGTGAAGATGTTGGCGTCGTTTGCTCTTGTGAGTAAACATGCAGTGTTTTACAATTCGACGCTTAAAAATGTAGTCTTAGTGACTTGATATAACTGATCTTACTGATCAATAATGAATGAACGTCCGTATCAGAGTATGTCAGCTGCAATTGCTTGTGTCAGGGCTGACATTGATTTATTGATTTCATCTGACTCCATGCTTCAAAACCGCGATTAAGCAGTGTGTGAAAAACGTAAACTGACGACGTTTTGGTGGCTTATGCGCCGTGTAAACGTTTCAAATACAGCCCCGTATAGCATTTTGTAAACAGATCAGGTGCGGGTAGTTTTGGTCATTGGAAAAGGTGCGTCGGTAGCACTTTGCAACTGTACACTGCTGCCATAGACAAAAGTTACACCGATACACACCAATAGAGCACCGACAGAAATAGTGTGCTTTCCTTTCAAAACTCCTCTTGTTATTTACACAGTTTACAATGTATTTAGTTTTTGTTAAGTCCGCCATTGCCACCTTAGGTCTATCGCATGGCTCAAGAACAAATGCAGGAACGTCTAATGCATAAAACATACCCTGTCAAGTTTTCTTGTTTTACGAACTTTAAAATATACCATATAATATAATCAAATTCTCAGACATCAAAATTACTTATCTCATAATATATCCTTCCAGTCACCATCCCTCTGAGGCTACTTGGTACCCGCCCATCACCTGGTATACTTCAAGCATATCATGACAAACAGTGGGAGAATGTGTGTTATACCGACAACACCTATGCTGATAGGATTGGCTCGGTTGCGTGCAGGATGCTGGGTTTTCAGGCGTAAGATGGTGAAACACTTTTTTGTCGTTTTAACTGGATATTCGGTCATTTGTATACATAAACTTAAGACCAACGAAAACGTTTCAGTAACTGCTCAAATGATTTTTAAAAAACTTTCTCAAATGTTGGCGATTGTGTTAAGATTGGATAAAAAGTCAAAGGTCCTATTATCTGTTTTTGATAAATTTAGCATTTTAGGATAAATATATGTTTTTCTCAGGTGCATATGTCCTATTGAGGTGGACGATCTTGATCTATAAAGAAAACCTTATGTTAGATCTCTAGTAATTCCTTCAAATGATTCATATCTAACATTCTAGATTCTTTGAATTAGATATCCCATTGTTGCCAATATGAGGTTACTTTCATATTCCTGGTAAGGTATTATGACCCGTTCTGTTCTGCAGATTTTCCCCTACTCGACCTACTATCTGAACGGTGTTTACAGTGTTCTGTCAAATTGTATTGTGTGTCGTTTTGGACATTTCAGAACATTTCTCACCTCTCCCTCATGGGTCTTAACCTCAATTGTGTGTAACATCAGATTATGTTATATTTAACATATTATTCATCCTTTTTGGATTGTTTTGAATGTTTTGAATGACTGATGAAAATTAACAGTATTTACGGCATCATTTCGGACTAGTACAAGCAGACACAGAGAGAAAGACACACACACACACACACACACACACACACACACACACACACACACACACACACACACACACACACACACACACACACACACAACACACACACACACACGTACACACACACACACACACACGTGCATGCACGTCGCTATATAAGTGTAACAATCTTGAACGCGACGTTAAACCTCAATTCACCTCACCTCTTGGAATGTTTGTAAGATGTTCATAGTCCTGGTGGCGCTGTTCGGATGCAAGCTTGCATGACTATACTTTTCGAGGTTGGTGACTTTAGTTTGAGATTGAAAATAATTTATTTTGCTTTCCGCACTTTGTTCACATTGATCTTCGTTAGAGATTTTTTAGCAAATTATTGTCCGGTCATTCTACCTTTCAGCAAACATCCGTTATTCATCAAGTATGATTCATGTTGAAGTACACGGTGTTCAAATCTTTTCTTTCTCACCTACCATCATTTGTTTATACTGGACAATAACATAACATTAGTTAGGGTGTCTTTAGTTGCCGTATATGTTGTCATATTAGGTTATTTTTCTGACACCATAACGAATTTATTATGTCGAAAAGTTTACACCTACTTGTAGCTTTATATAACAAAATGAAACCTTGACACTTACAACCGGCATTAATTATAGTCCAGTACCTATGCTTCCAATACAAGGCTTTCATGTAAACACAAACATTAACATCATAATATATTTCTAGCTTCTATACTAATTCTTCTGTATATTACAGAGAAGGGTCCTTCGTACAAATACTTTATATAAGCCGGGCATGTGTGCGATGTGATGGTACTGAGGGTGAAATCAATGCTTGCACGAAGGCACCTCATCGCTATTACTCTATACGTGTCACATGTCTTGAAGGTATTGAAAATATTGTCGTTGTCTTTGATGTGACTATTGCTATTTATCGTGCTCTTTAGAGTTGATAGACGGTGAACTCCAGACTCCTTCCTGAGGTTTGTGATGTCAAATAACGAATATTAGAATACATAGTACAGAAGATATGTGTTGAGGAAAACGTCAACTGGAGTTTTACCCAAACATACCACAAATATGAATGACATTGTAAAGTCATTGTGACATCATACTACTCCATGACTTGGTTATGCTGCTTCATTTTTTGAATTGAAGATTAGATAATATAATTATCAGTGCAGATTTATAACATTAGAGGTGACAACGCAACGTCTGTTCAAAATAATTATAAAATTTATATAAACTTTCGATGTTTATTGTTGATAACGTGATATGTCTCTGCATGATTTCCTTTCTCATTACAAAAAGGCTTACATCACCAGGGAACAAAATGTCTAAAATGATACATTATTCTATGCAGGACCTGTCATTGAAGTATCATTAATGATCCCATTTGTTCCAGATTTCAGCCTCCGTTTAGTTACAACAATCACCCCTGGAGTCAAGCACCTGTCCGTTTTACATAGCAACAAATGGGGCTACGTGTGTGGTGACTCGTTTTCGGTCGTCGAGGCTCGGGTAGCATGCAAGAAACTTGGATTACCATGGTAATAATGTCCTGATGGTTTCGGTGTTTAACTTTTTTAATTCTAATGGCAGCATTATCTACATTCTACATATGTATGGGTAAGAATCATGACAATGTCATGTCCAGAAAATTTAACGTACAAGTCAATACCCCTTAAAATAAAAGAATGATTTTGAAGAATATCTAATTAATCACATAATTTCGGATTGTACCTTCCGATCAAATTCTTCTGGATAACCACATTGCTTGGTGCACAGAATAGTGTCTTTTTTAATAATAAAGACATTATCCAAAAGTAATTATCCAAAATGTGTGAATTCCACACTGGAGGGATCAAACCAACGCGGTTTCAGTGTTTAACTGCTTTGAATTCTAATTGGCAGCATTATCTACATTGTAGGAACGGTGCCTACAATACTGCCATACAACGTGGATCCGAGATGTTTATATGGCTAAAGAACATAACATGTACAGGAAATGAAGAGTCACTGGAGTTTTGTGCCCACTCTGGCTGGGGAGAGGAGTCATGTGCAACATTCACAGGACTTGTTTGTACTGAAGGTAACATTGGTGCAGTTAGGTGGGATGTATGCTGAAAGGGTTTTTCAATTATAAAATGTCGATATTCTTCGAGCCGTCACTGGAAAATTGGAGATGCTTGAAGGTTCTCTTTACAATTACAGTAAACTACGGTTATAACGAACTCAAAGGGACCACTAATTTGGTTCGTTATAACCGTAGTTCGTTATAAGCATATATACAGCATATATACAACAAATGTCCGGGACTAAAAAATAAGTTCGTTATATCGGTCCGTTCGTTATAAACGTGTTCGTTATAACCGTAGTTTACTGTATTGCTAAAGGGATCCTATGTTGACATGACACACATTTGCCAGGACTGAAGCTTGGTCAAAGCCAAAGAGCTGCTTTCTTGACTACATTGATGGTTGGACATGAATTGGTGCTGCTGTATGTTTTGCATGGTCGTTTTAATCTGCTGAAAGGAACTGAAAACATGATTAAATGTCTGGTTAGTGTGAGTAATTTGATTCATTTCAATTCTAACCGATAACTTGATGAATACAAAACCACACCAAAGTTTAAACTATTGCATCTCGTTTCTTATAAAACTTATTTTTCAATATATTCAACAGCTCGAATGATTCTATCCTCGCCTGCAAACGACACAGAAGAGATATTAGAAGTTGCTTACAACAGTACATGGGGTGGTGTGTGTGCCGATACGTTTGACGACATGGCTGCCAAAGTGGCTTGTAGAATGACTGGACAGCCTATGTAAGTGCTGACAGTAATGTACACACTTATCTTGTTATGCTTTACACAAAAGAAAAAGAGGACCCGGTTCGATCTGCCTTACAATTTCCTTTAAGAACTGAAATGTCTCTTAGTATTAAAACTGTGTCTCCATTCTATTATGACAATTACCTTTGACCCATTCGCCATGATTTGTTTTGGAAGTAACAATCTCCATCTTTTAATCACCAAGCAGAGATTCGCGGTTATCTCGATGTGAACAACCGGTCAAAATGGCCTTCTGAACGAGAGTTTATCATAGATGTCATTTAAACATTGCGGCCCTCGATACATTTAATTGAATCGGAAGAAGCCTGTTTACCTTCAAGTTGGGAATGCTTTCCTGAGTATGAAGGTTAGGAAGTCCTTATGCTCCAGGCATTCCCTGGTGTACACACAGTTGGTGATATCGCCGGTTGCTTCAATCACGAAGTATCAATGTATTTTATATCCCCATTAGTTCCAGCTTAATACATACAGTCCTCCCTGTTTATAATGCCACATTTTGTCCAGCGGTAAGCATTAAAACCAGGGATGATTGAACATCCATTTCCAACATAATATTTGTTAGAAAATGAAACAACGGCGATTGAAGACGTTATTACAGAAAAGAATTATATCATTAACATCCAACTAGTTTGTTTGTTATTTTAAGAAAAATAATGATTATCTGTTTGAAGATTCGCTGTAAAACAACTGAGATATGCTCAGAGATGAGTGAAATTAGTTTGTTGAATTAGAAAAAGGAATTATCTCCAAAAGATTAACTACAACTGTCATTTTTATGTAACAACATGAATAGAAAAATGGCTTTATAACCAGGGTGGCATTCTAACCAGGGAATGTTGCACAGCAGAAACCCATTCTGTGAAAAGTGGCATTTTAACCATGGTGGCATTACAGGACATTTGTGAGGCACATCCGTACCTGCGTGGAATGAAAATCTCCACAAATACGGAATTACATGATTATTAACTGGTATTCGGGGAGTATATAATGGTATTCATCCGAAAAATAATTTGTATCCAAGTTTGTTTCAGGTTAACACATATATACACACATTGATTCTCCAGTGAGCATGCACGTGTGGGGACACCTCAGAGATATGTAGACATTGTGTTGAGAGTGCAGTCTTGCCTTGGCAATGAAACCAGTCTTGGTCAGTGTGAACATGATGGATGGGGTCAGAATGGACATTGCACCACTGGAGCCAGTGCCCGCTGTTCATGTAAGAATGTGTCATGTTAATCTTTTCTCATGTTTAATAAATTGCCATTTACCACAATCCAATAAACATCGCATATAGTTCTGATATCTTTTGTATTACATATATTTAATGATAACAATGATAGGCCAACCATCTCATACATATGCATAGGTTATTGGCAAAATTAATTTTTTCAGACCTATTTCTCTTGGTTTTTTTCATGTAATATATAAATATTCCTAACTATTTGTTGTTGCTAAAGTTGGTAACCTATCTATATTTGTATCGTGCAGTGTGTTATGTGTATTCATTGCATTGCAATCAATCGCTATCTCTAAAGTTATTATATATATATTCTAATTTAATAGTAAAAGCTACAATTGGTAAACTTACCACTTCAGATGTTTAGACATTGTCAAATGAATATATGGACATATGAACCCCCCTTTTTAATGAAACACTACACAACTAAATGATATCCGGTTGGGTGGACAACAATGTTAAATAACCAAGTGTTTCTTAAAATAATTTTCAACTAATAATTATTGTTAGGAAACTTGTTTGGCAGTTGCTGCTGAAACACACCTTGAACCATCAAAGAAAATCTTGGATGTCCACCTGGGCGATCAGCTAGATATCAAGTGTGTCGTAGACAACGCCCATCCTCGGGTTGATAACTTCACCTGGTATTTTAAAGGGATGGAAGTTGGAAATGGGGACACATTTGCACTAAGTGCCCAACGAGGAGATCAAGGAGAACTCAAGTGTGTCGCAGACAACGGATTCCGTCCGATAGCAGGAGCATCATCCACCTTAGTCAACATTCTTTGTGAGTTTCCCGTTTTGTTTGGTTGAGGAAATTGTCATGGTCAAGGTCAGAAACAGTCATTGGTTTTGCAGCTCCTCATTATGTCATCACAAATGCAAATGCTCAAGTATAGACTTGCCTACTCGGTTTGATCTTTGATATGACATTATTCAAGAAGGGAGATTGTATGACGCTTCATGTGGTTTTATCAATACATTGTGTTATTGTCAAACAAGAAGTTAATGTGTTATGAGTACAATATGCAAAGTACGTGTACTTAGTTTGAGTCACCCATCGCGATATACCTGAATGTAGCAAAAATCTGCTCACGCAATCATTGGACACACCCGTATGCATAACTAATGTCAACGGTAACTTTCATTCATATATATGATTATAGAATTGTCTGTATAGTTACGAAGGAATGTAGTATAAGCTCACCATGTATTCCAGACCCTCCAGATGTCTCCTGTGAAGAAGAACACACAGTGACAGAGGGGGACAGGGTGTTCATCAACTGTTCGGCGGACAGTAACCCTCAGCCCTTGAACCTGACCTGGACGAAGGCCACAGAGAGTTTTCAGGCAGATGTTGATGGTGGCATGGTCCTTCTGTCTCTCGACAACGTTGACCTCGACGCTACCGGCACCTACGTGCTCACAGTCATCAACTCGATGATGGACTATCGAGGAGTCGTTAGATATGGTTCCAGTTCGACTTCCGTCTACATCGCTGTCAAAGGTAAAGTACACAAATAAATAACACGCCGCATATCATCAGGTGTATATATGTATAATATAATGTATGTTTGATAATCCGCAAATAATGATACGTTGTGGCTCAGTACTATTTCGCTCTCTGTTGATTCACAGTATTTCTTTTGTCTTTCAGCTTTCCCCAGTCGTGTGTTCATGAATGCTACAATCGTCGTATCATTTGTCGCTGTCGTTGTAGTCTCAGCTCTTGTTGTTACGATTGTGTGTCTAGCCAGACGAGGTGTTCATAAGCCAAGTATGTAATCTTAAATGCTCACAGCCCAATTCAATGTAGGACAGTACATGATTGCCCTTTTCGCGAACACCTGGTGTCATCACTGATTTTCACTAGTCCATTTATATTTGTTTGTTTGTTGTTTGTTTGTTGTCATCCATTTATCTAATTGTCACCACCATTTTGCCTTTTACCCCAAAGGAATCGAGACGTTGACCTTTCATATTTCCAATATGCCTCACATCCAGCAAATATCTTGAGTCTCATAAATTCAATCATGCACCTGTCAATACTTATTCATGAAGACGTTTCCTCGACTTTAAGGTCGTGATTCACCATTTGCACATGCATGTTCATGCGCAACACACAATTTGAATGTTTGCATACTTGTCGGGAGCATGATACTCGCACACGTGTTTTTTGAATGTGAACAGCACAAAATGATTGTTAACCTATCAGGTGCTCATGAGAACACGTTTGTTTAACCATAAATCGTGGGCATGCTGCAAACAGGAATGTCGCAAAAGGAAGTTGCCAGACATTTTAATGTTCCTCGAAACACAATATCTTTTCTTTGGAGACGTTATCTGCAGAAGGACAACACTCATGTACTGCCACGGCTCGGTCGTCCACGCGAGACGTCACGTCAACAAGACAACAGTATTCGGTTGATGCATCAATGGAATCGATACCAAACTGCCACATTAACAGCTCGGACAAATCCTTGGTTGTGACCAATTAGTCGTAGAACCACACGCTACCGGTTGAGAAACACAACACCCGGTCCCGACGTTACCGTTCACAGATAAGCCCAGGTTTAATCAGCAAAGCTCCAGAGCTCATACAAGGGTACACAGGCGTCAAGGAGAACGTTTTAGCGACGATTGCGTTACTGAATACTGTCAGGTTGGGGGGTGGAAGTGTAATTGTATGGTATTGGGTGGCATCAACTCATGGGAGAATTTGAATGGCGTACACTACCGAGACGACATCGTTTGAGATCATGTTCTACGATTTGTGCAAATGCAGGAACGTGACGTCACGTCACAGCAGGATAATGCCCGCCCACAACATAACATTGCTGTACTGCCATGGACGGCTCTTTCTCCAGACCTCTCACCCATCGAACATGCCTGGGATGAGATGGATCGAGTCCTACGATAGGACCAGAACCTGATACGTCGTGTCAGCTTAGTGTCGGAGGAAAAGGCAAAGTGATGAAGGTCTCAGACGTTTACATCTTTGGTAAAACCAACGAGCACGGGTTTGATGCTGACAAACCTAGAAACGTAATCGGGGTGAACCGGAATTCGAACCCACAATCATGACGTGGCCAAGGGACGCAACTCTGTACAGAGAATTATGGCGCTAAGACATGTTAGTGGTGTCAGGTACAACATGATTTTGTGAAGTGAAAATGATTCATGTTTCTTGTGGGAAGCCTTTGGGGCATCCAGGAAAAGGTGGGGATGGGTCTCCTTCTCATTTTCCATCTTTGTTTTGTAGGGGCGGTCGGGTAACCTAGTGGTTAAAGCGTTCGCTAGTCACGTCGAAGACCTGGGTTCGATTCCTGTAATATTGCCTAAAAGCGGTGTTAAACCATACTCACTCACTCACGCACTCACTATGTTTTGGAAGAATTAGGTAGGGTAGTTTATTCGACCAAGGCCTTCAGAGTAACTTAATGTTCTTGTTAAAGTTTTTAGCAACATGTTATCATCGTGTCTTGTAAATGAGATAACGTACAAATGTGGTTTATGATGGTTTATGAATATGTTCATGACTGTTTCACGTATTTTTCAGCCTCCAGATTTGAAGCAACTACTGAAAGGTACAGTAGCTAAAAAGTGAAATGATCATATAAGCATTTGGCTTTCAATGTTGAATGACTATATCTCCAGTTACTGCAAACATACACATCCTTAACCAATACATAATTGATCAAGTTCGAAACCAGCATCATTTAAAGGAAAAAACTTCCAGCCACTGGTATGGGTACAAGGATGACATGTTCCATACGTTATTCATGGATAAGTTTGTTAATTGAGCTCTTGACCTTGTTTGATGTATGTACATGGTGCCTGTACCGCCAGATGTTTGCCGAAACCAGTTTACACGGCAGTTTCACTACACGATTAAGTGATCTTATCATATGAAGTTTCTGAAACGCCATCGGGGAAAATGTGTTACATATTTATGGTCAGTCATATATAGTTTGCATATATTTGAAGGCATACATGAATGGAGCAGGATATGGATCACGTTGTCGTCTTGTTTCTCTGTTAAAACTCATATATTTCAGGTCGGTTCATTTCCAAAGCACCCCTAATGTATACATCGAAGAGCAGGGGACTTCTGGCGCCGGTAATAGTGTTATGTGTAACATAGACTATAAGTATGGCCACTTGAAATAGTTGTTGTGGGCGAGAGAGTGAGTTTGGTTTAACCATTTCAGTGACTGTATATCTTGAAATTAATGTGACTGCTGAACCTAAGGAAAACATGCGACTAAATATCAATGCCACCTCCCTTCCAACCCTAGAAGATTTGTACTTATTTAATAGAACCTTAATCCAATCAAATAGTAAAGAGAACCTCTTAGCGTTACGTAGAGTAGTTCAGTATCAATCTCATTAAAATCTTATCTTAATTCTCGCTACCGCTAAACAAAGATCTGAGGACATCCCATTACGGGTCACGTCAGACCGACCTTGCGCGAACTTGGACCGACCAATGGAATGTCCAATCAGAAGGCAGCTTTCTCGTGCTTTACGACACTCATTTCAAATTGGCGACAACGCTTCGAAACATATTTTGACAAATTCTCGATTACAAATTTGAAACCTGAACAAAAGAACATTCTGGAATGGCTAATAGATGGTCTAGATGGTATGAATTCAGTCATTAAACCTGTAACTATCGTTCGGAATACCCCGTGTTAAGGTTCTCATGGTTGCATGATTAGAAATCACATTCCGACAGTCGCTTTCATGATCTGGTAAGCGACGCTCTGATTGGTCTGATGAAAGGTCGTTCTGACGTGACCCCTAATGGGATGTCCTCAGATCTTTGTTTAGCGGTTGCGAGAACTAAGGTCTGATTTTAATGATATTGAGTTCCGTATAAGACTCACGATGTCCATTACGTAATGTTTCGTTCGTGTTTGAATGACTTATGTACTTGTTTCTTAAGTTGATATTTCCGCTATCCCGAGTTTGTTCCGTATTTCATTCAATATTGTTTACATTAACAAGTTGGGGTTTGAATGGTTTAATCAAATGTGCTTGGTCTGCGAATGGGACCGTGTCTAGACCACACATGTTTAAAATGTAAAGAACTACACTCCTCCCCAGATTACGTTTCGAGACAAAGTCATTTTCGATTATTTACATGAAAATTGACATGTGAAAAACATGTAGAAAATACAACATCTGATGTTTTTTTGTCTTTAATAGGAAATTGTCAAGCAGATGGGGAAGAGTACTACACTCAGCTGGATTATCAGACACGGGATCTTGGTGGTAAATAGATACGAATTTCAGTTCTTAGCTACCTTAAAAAAACAGCCCCTTGTAAGGGGTCTGCTGACCGTGTTTGCTCTATTTTGAGCTCCGCTGCAAATGGTTTTCTCAACCACGTGAGTATAGCAGATAGTAGAGACTACAACTGACATACCCAATATACCCAAGGGGATATTTTCTGACATTTGAGTGGATGACATTGAAGTTCGCTCGGTATGAACTAGGTATTGTGTACACAATAACTTGGATATTTATGAATGAAATTTGATGAACCTTAGTATACATGATTTGTAAGGCGGGAGTGTTTGGGATGAACGCTACAAGAGGTCAAATTATGAAACATTGAGCACATTTCACGAAAATTCGTATTAATTCGTAAATAATCTAAGCTTTTCCCAATCCCTTATGATAGAATATCAATAATCAACTCAATACCTGTCATGGTTGTGGCTTATTTGATTGCATGTTCCATATTTGTTGCATGGCATCGTATCCAAAATTCATGAGTCGATGCTCGTGATTTAAATCACTGGATTGTCTGAGTATTTACAGCCCGCCGCCATATAGCTGGAATGTTGCCGAGTGTGGCGTTAAACTGCAAACAAAACAAATTATGTCAAGTGTCAAGGTCACATTAAAGATCATTGACTCGTGAAATGATTATATACAATGTAGTTGTATGTACTTGCAGGAAATATTGTTAGCATGACTAAGGGTGAAATAAGTAATGTTCTCGCATGTTATTGGATGACGTTGAAGGTCAAGGTCAGTATGTGTGAATGAGACTTCCTGTGAAGAGTGTGTTCTTATGATCTTGAGCATTTATAATTGGAATTTGTATCTCTGGGCAGTTCATGGCTGACATTGAAACCAACCCGTTAGGGATGCTATTGGAATAGAACCGGAAGTGTTTCGAACATTCTTATTAAGGTAGCTATCAAAGTTGTATTTCATTAAAGAAGTGTGAAGTTAACTGTCACCTGTCACCTGACTAATATAGATAATTAGGTAAGCTAAATATTTTGAATATAATCCAAGTTATATGAACTTATTTGTTTAACATTTGTATTTCAGAGGAAAATATATACGAGAACACAATGACAAAATAAGAATTCGTGTTTGGCTGAACCTGTGCTCAAGATGTTTAACAGCTTGGAGGGAGTTTGAGTGAGACCCGCAACACTATGGTCGTATTTGTCAACTATGCTATGGAATACACCCTGCATTTGGGTCAACGAGTATAACTGACCAACATTATATTATGCTGTGGATTACAGCCCATACGCATTAGCTCTAATGCAGTTGAATACACATTATGCTTAGCTGTTTCACCGAGTGTAAGCCTAAATAACAAAGATATTTTTTATAGATGTTGATAAGTAAAAGAATACTTAATAAATTATCATATGTATACATGTACGTTATGCATATATATGTAAGACCCGTGAAGATCCGGGGTAGAATGGGTCTTGGCGACTATGCTTGTCGTAAAAGGCGATCGGTTGGTCAGGTTCGCTGACTTGGTTGATGCAAGTCATCGATCCCAATTGCGTGGATCGATGTTCATGATGTCAATCACTAGATTGTCTGGTCCAGACTCGATTAATTATAGACCGCCGTCATATTGCTGGAATATTGCTGAGTGCGGCGTAAAACAACAAACCAACCAACCAACCCACCAACATGTACATGTAGTATGCATTTGTGATATTGATATATTGTTATTATTATTGTCATAAACTCAAGTAATATCTCGACAGCTACTGTCACTGTATGTATTTCTCGAAACACTGTTTCTAATTGAGTGTATTAAATATGGTATGTTTAGCACGTTCAACATGGATGTCTACACATATGTTCAACTGACTGTCTACGTAACTATTTGTTTTGTTTGTTTTTTAAAAAACTTTTGTTTGATCCCAGAGTTGTAGAGTAATTGTACAGTATTCCGTCAAAAATATTTCGGATAAAAAATAAAATCGTAAACTATTTTATGCTTTTGAGCATATCCATATTGCTTTTTTTTGTCTACATTGATTTTTAAGCCAGACATTTTGTAGAATTTATTAAGTGTTTCTATAGCTGCACATAAGCTTTCATCTTTACCATTTAAATATAATTCAGTATCATCATCATCATACTACCCAAGTTTGTATTCTTTGTCATTAACACTAATCCCTTCAATTTTATTATTATTTATAATCATACATCCTAGGGTTTCAGCTACGAGGAGGAAAATATATGGCGACAATGTCTCTCCTTGTCGACAGCCTCTTTCATTTGTAAAACATTCAGATGCCCATTTTGTAGTATGTTTGATGTAGTTTCGTATGTTAGTATATTCATGCACCTTATCATTTCTGGTCCAAATCCATATTTTTGAAAAACTTTGTTTATAAATTGTTTTGATACCGTATCAAATGCCTTTTCAAAATCTATCAGCAGAAGTAATCCTGCTTTATTTTGACTTTTGGTTTCCAGGATAATATCGCATAACAACTTTGTGCTTCCTGAAATAGATCTTCCAGGAATAAATCCCGATTGACCATTATGAATGAGCATTTCCAATGTTGATTTTATAGATTTGCAGTACTAATTATTTTATTGAGTGCATTCAATAAAGTTATTGGTCTCCATGTTTTTATCAATGTTCTGTCTTTGTTTGATTTTAGTATACAAGTTATAACTCCTCTTTTCATTGTCATACTCATTTTGTTATTTGCAGAAGTACTTTTTACATTTTACAAATCTGTATATCGAGATTTTAGTTCTTTCCCGAAAAACTTAAAACAATCAATAGGAAAGCCATCAATACCGGGGCTTTTATATTTTTTTCATGTTTTTAACCGCCAATTAAATTTCTTCAAGCTCAATTTCTCGTTCTAATAAGTTTATTATTTGGTTGTCTAATGTTGGAGTCTCTTAATTTGTTACATTTTCGGAACTTCTGTCATTGCTATCAGATGTATTTATTTTTTTAAAGGGTTATTAATTCATTAAATATGCAAATGCCCCCTGTTATTACTGTATCATCTTCAGTTATAACTTTATTTATCATTTTACTGACTTTATTTTTCTAAGTTGCAGAAATAACTTGTTGGTTTTTCTCCTTCCTCACACTATTTCATTCTTTTTCGAATTTTTATTCCTCTTATTTCATCTTCTTTAATATGTTCCATTTCTAATTTGTATTTTGATCATTCTGATAGACGTTTTTCATCTGTTTGTTGAAGATTTCGCCTCATGTCATCTTCCAAAACGTTTATCTAACTTTCTAAGTCTTTTGTTTGATTGATTTTGGTTCTTTTAACAAATGAAGAATATGAATTTTTTCTCTCTCTAACTTTCATTAAGAGGGTTACAAGAAATAAATTGTCATCTATTTTAAGTTTGCAGTCTAACTCACTTTGTTCATTATTCTCAAAAATATTCTTTTTAAGTTTCTTCTATAACTGTCTTCACCAACTCTGTATAATCTTTATTTAACAGGAGTCAAGTGTTTAATTTCCAATACCCGCGTCCTCTTTCTTGATTATTTGTATTAGAGAAAGATAATGTTATGACTTAGTGATCACTTTTATATGCGAGTAAAGTATTTGTTTCCAATGTCATATTTCTTATGTCTTCGGACACTAAAAAGAAGTCCAGCCTAGCTTATTGGGCTTTTTTCCACCATGTAAAGTCTTTATTTAGTTCTCTCCATACATTAATCATATTTAATTATTCTATTTTTTCCAGTACTACCCATCTTGCTTTAGGGTTATATATATTTTTATAATTTTCTAAATCAACTGCAGGATTAAGAACAAGGTTCCAGTCACCCACAATAACTAATGAATCATTTTCGAAATTGTCCCTATTATCAAACAGATTTTTATAAAAATCAGGGACATCACTGTTAGGTCCATAGAGATTAGTTAATGTTAGTCTTGTATCTTCTAGAGTCATATCAAGCTTTTATATAATTGCCATTTTCATCCACTTTTGTGCTGTGAATGTCTTCATTATTAATAAACATTATAGCAACACCTCTAGTATTTGAATTATAAATATGGATTTATTGAATATGACAAATTAAAAATATAAACTTGTTTCGATACCTCAAAATTAGCATGTCGTTCACACAAACACGTTGCACATAAACACATCGATCTATCGATAGCTTTCACTTCAATGAATATGTGGTGGCTGTCGATACCTCTTAGACTTGCATACGTTCGATATCAGAACAGCTTATCAAACATGATGAAATCTACTTCAGAACACACACAAACCACTGTTTCAGAGCTACACAACCATGGTTCACAGAAATGAGCGGTCTCCCACACTCCTTCGGGTCGTACAATGCTTTCTAGTCTGTAGCTAAAAACGGTGGTATTCAACCACATCTCAGGGTGTTTCTGTTGGCAATGAGGTTGTGCTTGCAGGCTCATTTCCACCAGTTAAACATCACGTTAATGGTGAACATATTTACAGATCGGGGTTGTTCTCTGGGTTCATGCTATTTGTAAAGAGCCCTGTCACTACTACTTTGAGGTCATCGTTGTCGTCATAGCGCTTTCCACGAAGATGTTCTTTCAGTTTAGAAAATCACTTGGTGCCAGGTTTGGTGAGTAGGGAGGGTGAGGAAGCTCCTCGAACCAACATTGTCGCACAGCAACCTTTGCAAGTCGAAAGGTGTGAGAAGAGGCATTGTCATGAAGTAGTAGAACTTGGGCAGTCTCCTCTGCATCCCAGAACGCAGTGGCCATAACTTTCGTCACTGATCTTGATGTCTTGAATTTCTTTGTTGCTGGAGAAGTGAAATGGTGCCATTCCATTGATTGACGCTCTATCTCGTGATCATAGTAGCAGACCTATGTTTCATCACCCGTCACTAATATCTTTTAGAATGTGACGAAATCCTCCCTAATTAGCTCTGGTAATGTCAGTTCTTTTTTCCTTAATATCGGAATTAAGAAACTTTGGCACCCAACAAGCAGATATCTTATTCATTTGTAAATGTTCATTAATAATACTTTCAATGGATCCATGGCTTAGACCTGTGTCTTCCTAAAGTTCAGCAATGGTGATCTGACGGTATACGTTTTCCTATCTCCTTGGTTGAATCTACATAGATGGAAAATGAGGGACGTCCAGACCTAAGGTTATCATCAAGGCTTGTTCTCCAAGCCGTAAACATAGCTGCCCAAAGTTGACCAGTGGAATAGCTAGGGCACTTATCCCCATTACACTTGCAGGTCATGAATTTCCTGGGGAGTACTTTTCTCTAAACCTTGATGACTGCTCGGTACTCGTTATTTTCCATTTCTGTGTCCGTTTGGACCCCTATTACTTTCAACGGGCTGTCACTAATATACAGACGGCCTCAAAAGACCAAATGCACATGCAATAACCACCCAAACAATGCACTACATTGACTAGTTCACTTTGTTATTGCCCATCGTTAAAAGTTAGCCGGGCTTAGAACGTTTTGACCAGTCCTTATGTCAACGTATTGGAGTTAATCAACAGTTTCTACTGAGAATAATTAAACGACATGCCTACTAACTAGTTCCATTTGTGCATACACTCCATTCTTACTATTCTCCTGAGGATTTCTTCTTTATTTATTTAAATTTATATAATTTTCTCCTCTATTTTGCCCAATGGCATCTGTTTAAGTGGATGATTGAGGCTGCTTCTTCTCTGGCGTGGACGTTTTATATTCATAAACTATCAGTCATGTTTCATACACTTTAGATTGTAATACAGTATTGATTGATATGCTTGTATCGGTTACATGTGTGGGAGGAAAAGGTCAGTAGGGTGGGGATAAGCTTAGCGGTGGGATTGCCCAGGCCTGCAATCAATCACATATGTATATGCTTGGAGTCGCATGGTGTCTCTGCACTTGTACACAGCAGACAAAATTAACAAAATATGTAAATGCGTCATAGTACACAGGATTTTCTGCTTCATCGATCACTTGATTGTCTGGTTCGTTTACAGGCCGCCGGCGCATTGCAAGACTACTGCTATGCTGAGTAAGGCAATAAATACTCACTTATTAATGCAAATTGCGTGTGTGGCGGGTGCTACCAGTAGGGCAAGACATGATTACCCTTTTCGCGAACATCTGGTGTCATCACTGATTTTCACTGGTCCATTTATATTTGTTTGTTTGTTGTTTAACGCCATATTTCAGCCATATGTCGGCGGTCTGTATATAATCGAGTTTGGACAAGACAGTCCAGTGATGGATATCGTGAGCATCAATCCTCTCAGTTGGGAAACAATGACATGCATCAACCAAGTCACCCGATCCCTTTAGTCGCCTATTACGGCAAGTATGAGTTGCTGATGACCTATGTTACCCCGGATCTTTACGGGTCTCATTCGTATAATTTTCACGCCAAATGGACTGTTTCGGTGGATACTCGAGACCGCTAGTATCCCAAATTGAAAGGTAACACCTAACTCATTCGTGTCATGCATGGTGAACCGAACTGTCTGTACATTGACGTTAAAGTGAAAACTTTGACATGGTGAAGTTAACTGGCTGTACACTGACGTTAGGATGAATATATTGTTGACCAGTTAAAAAAGAGAAGAAACTGCAGATACATAATTCATTGACAAAAACGCAGCATATATTCTTTAGAAAAACACAATTCATGATGTGTTGTGCAATCTGTTGTTTTAGTAATATATATCATAACTGTTCATTTCGATCATCAATATATGTTCATGCAATATAGTACATATTTATAGGTATGTACCAATAGCGGCAATGAAGTGAAATTATCCCAACAGCTGCATTCATATTCCATGAAATGTAAGACATACTTGCTCGTGGCACTAATGAAAAACTTCAGTAGTGTTTATTAAATGAAATGACATTGTGAATCATATTTAAGAATCTTTTCGGAACAACGAACGCTTCCGTGGTCTTGAGGTAGAGCGTCCGCCCGGATGGCAAAATGACCGGGTTCAATCCCCGGCCGCGTCATCCCAAAAGACTCTAAAATATTGTACTTGTCTGGCGCTCGGCATTAAGGGGCTAAACCAAGGACTGGTCGGCTGGGAGTCAGTATACTGTGTCTGAGTGAGATATTCATGTTAAACAGCGGCATCGTATCTCAGTGGGCTTGCCCTATTAATCGGACTTGTACAAGCAGCCACACACACGCGCGCACGCACGCACACACACACACACACACACACACACACACGCACATGCACGCACATGCACGTCGCTATGTTAATGCAATAATCTTGGACGCGACGTTAAACCCCTTTTCACCACCACACCTCTCAGAAGCAACTAGATCTAAGAGGCTGATACATTGACCTGACGTGTAGAAACCAAATAGAATTCAGCAATATTCTGGGTATATGACGACAGCCATTAATCGATTGGACCAGCCAGACGAACCAGTAACTGAAAGCACGATAAGACGCTCTCAGTGAAGTCTCCGCCTGACTTGCCCCGATTATGTTTCTAGGTTTGTCAGCACCATACCAAGGTCGTGGGTTTCACTGAAGTGGAAACCTGCAACACTTCGGGCTTTCCTCCCACATTCAGCTGACGGCGTGATATAACTGGAATACTGTTAAAAGCGGCGTTAAACCCAACTCACTCACTCACTCTCAGCCTGATCATCCTCGTCGCCTCTTACTCCAAGAACAGGGATCCAGTGCTATCCAAGTATCCCACTGGGATAGTTACAGGCTGGTTGGTCGTCATATTCATCACAACGTATGCCTAAAACGGTTACTTTTGTCTTTAATGCGATTGATCACCATCACTCAAAAGAGACAAGAAGTTTGTATTTTCATTGTCACTGTGTCTCTCAACTCTCGTCACAACTGTCTTATATCTTCTCCTAGGTCATTGACATGTCATTTACAAACCGCATCTTCATATCTAAATCATCGCGCGTTATACAATCTGTAATCGAATATGTGAATATATTAATTGTATAAATGGTAGTTATTTGTCACAGCAACACTGATTGTTATCGAAGGGGATATTTTGTCATCGATATTTAGATATTAACTGAAGTGTTGTATGTTGTGTTTTCAAAACTTCAACCATTTTCATATTTGACGCACCAGTGACAACAATGATGTCCGATGCAATTCCTTTTTTGAAGTGTACCATATGTTGCCGTGATCTTTTCAGGTGAACAATTGACTTGCCTTTGCATGTGTTTGTGACAGGTGCCACCGGCGGAGGCAGGATACGCTCATCCTTTCCCGAACGCGTGGTATCATCACTATTTGATAGTGATTCATCTGTTTTATATTTACATCTATGCATAAAGATTCAGAGTGACGAAACAATCTATGCAAGATTGTATGACAAGAGGCATGATTTTAACTTTCCAATAGTCAACTTTCCCTTTGTGTCGAGCAGTACTCCTGCAGCTCAGATGCCCATGATATAGTGGGAATCGTACAATCGACTTTTTGATGAATATGGAAGTGGGTTTGTCGCTTATAATATTCAGTCACTGGTTTGCATGGATGAGACTCGATTACAGTCAACTACGTTTATGACGAACGCGGTTATAACGAAATGATGGATATAACAAACTTATTTTTTGGTCCCGACGGTTTGTTTATATGCTGTATTTATTATGCTTATAACGAACTGCGGTTATAACGAACTAAAATTAGTGGTCCCTTTTAGTTCGCTATAATTGTAGTTTACTGTATTTACAGACTGTCGTGACATAGTTGTAATATGACAGTGACGTTAAACAGCATCCATTTTTCTCTTTACCCAGGGTGTCATAATTCATCTGAATACAGACCTTCGGATTATACAAGTTCCTTTTTTAATAAAAAAAGAACACTTGCACACCTCGCTTTATGCATATGCAACGTTAGATTTGAACTCACCACGACCTCATGCACACGCCCTTCAGTGAAGTAAGAACATCATATACAACCCAATCAATTTGACGAATTGGATCGATGACGGTGTGTGACATTGACACCCCAAGTAAGGAACTTCACACAACAGCTGGAACATAGTTGTAAAACTGGTAAAGTTTACAGGACGTCAACATTGAAACGTCGTCAACAGCATACTGAATGTTCCTCTGAGATGATACCAGTGTTATATTGCGGAGACATCATCCCAAATCACGGGATTTTCTTCCATCAACATTAGGTAACACGATGCGTGTTACGTGCCTGTGGTTGTGGATGGTGGCCGTGTTGGTGGCAGTACTCGTTGCTGTCCTCAGTAGCCTACGTGATGTACTGGTTAGTGCCTTATTTGTAGAATTGAACTGATCTAAAGACAGGGGCGTAGGGATCGTCTTGTGACTAAAGAGTCCACTCATTCCCACATAGATACAATGTTTAAGGTCCGTTTTTTGCGAGGAAAACCCGAAGTACCGTCTGCCACGTTTGTCATTTAAGTTGTCAATGAGCAAGGGCATGGTGTAAAGTATGCAGTGTTCGTAATCCCATGATCGCTGTATCCCAACACGCCTAAGGGACGCAACTATGCACATCGTACTTGCAATTGGTGTGTACGGTCCATTATATTTAAAATATAAAACAAGACACATCACTGAATACTTTCTCCAAGGTGTTTCTACGTACCAACGGGTTCTCCCAAATGTTAAGTAAGTATCTATAAATTTTTATACGTTTACAAGACAACAAATTGGACCTAGGTTGAAATGAAACTAAGGTTCGTTTCCATGGTGCAACTCATATAGTGTACAGTATTTCTTCTATAAACTATGCGCGGAAAAGATGTCTTTTGCTATTCATGAGTTTATATTTTAGATTGCGAGCTTCTATGATAATAATAAATTTGACTTGTTCGGTTCGAAAGAGGCTTTCCTTGACGGAAAAACTTTTGAGAATTACCATATATCATACATCACACAACCATGTTGAGCAACCATGTTGTCCCCGACAACCTATGCTTGTTTTGCGAGGCGAATAAATATATCCGGTGTTCAGGATTGGAGACTTGGTTGATTGTTTGACATTGAACCCTGGCGGAATGGGACGTTGTTCATAATGCAGTGTTTATTAAACGCAAACAAATCTTACATTAGTCTAGGAACTGTTTTAGCCCTTTGAGTTTTCAGTATACTTAAAAAAGATGTCATAAATGTGATTAAAACAGGCATGCCAAAAGAAAGTGGTCATAAATGAAGCTAATATGCATTAGCGTGCAAGGGATTCACAGCGGATGCAAAGAAGACATACAAGTATTTCTCTTTTTTGATGGGGTTGGTGTGTACAGCTGTTCATGTTAACGAGGTGACTATTACCGAAGGATATAATACAGTATCATGTTCTGTTTGCCACAAGACATTCAAAGGAAGAATATGTTGACAGTATAACGACGAAATGAACATTTTAGAATTCTTGAGAAATCGAACTAAAGATGAGAATTTTGTTTGAAATCTAATGAAGTTAGATGCAGATGCATAACACGTTAACATTTAATTTCAGTCTGCTTATCGATTAATTTATTCCAATTATTAATTTATTAACACTTTACATGGTACCTACTTCCCTGAGACAACTGTTATGTTACTCAATTCCCTCTTCGTTGTATGACGTCAATCTTGTCACAACTGATTCCATTTATATGTATCTAATTATGTGTGTGTGTGTGTGTGTGTATGTGTGTGTGTGCGCGTGCGTGCGTGCGTGTGTGTGTGTGTGTTTGTGTGTGTGTGTGTGTGTGTGTTGAAGATTTGAATCATTGTCTCTCATACATCGTTTCAAGAGTGGCTTTGTATCTAATTATTGTACTGTTTATGATGTAATCAAAGGTGAGACGTAAATAAACAATTATCTGCCATCAATAATGGTCATGCATGCCCGGTGGAGAATAATGTTTGTACGCGGCCCAAAGTTGATGTAAATGTACCACTGTACAGGTATCTTATCATTTCTTAGTATCATATCATATTCATTACGTGTTTCCCCAGCTGTCGAGGTCATCTCGTCTTCCTGGCATGGTGACGGACAGGCGTGATCATGGCCACCTGTCGCCAGTGTCTGATGACATCGACCACCGCGTGAGCCGCATCCGCTCACTCAGTCTGGTAAGCTGTTATATACCAGATACAAAACATTCAGAATATTTATGTATAGATTCCTCCCGGAAACCCTTACGCAACATTCAAATTTAATGATAATGTTTAGATATGTTTTTAAAATATTTCATACCTATTTGAACAGAATGCACTACCAAATCTTTGCCATGATGGTGCAAATGTATCTTCCAGGACCAAAATGAGAAGGAATTAGGAAGGTTTGGAGACAATGGAAACCTGACTACTTTTCATGCTGTGAAGCATACTGTTTAACAAGTCATGACAGCATAATGTGTAGTGTCAAATACGACAGTAGGAGTGTACACAAAAAACTATATTAAATAACATCTTCACATGACACTCATTGGTTTCTGTATTTGAAACATGCAACATTTCGAACGACATTTCTTGATTTATCCACAACTGATGCACTTCGAATGTTGGCATACGTTGCAGCTTACAAACATATGAATAAGTAAAACACGATTTTAAAGTGCAACATTCAGTAAAATATTATCTAATTTAATTTGATATTTGATTTGCATAATTTGTTCGACTTGCCAGCTGCATCTTCCCCCCTGCGACGAGTTGCCAGAATTACCTGAGCGTTATCTGATAAACACTTTCCACAGGTGAGTTTACAAGGGTAGGTATGAACGATGTGTCAATTTTTTCGCAACGTTCACTAAAATTTGTGTTAAGCATAATCGTATATCGATATCCAAGGTGTCAAGTGGTATATTCACCCATGACAACCCATCGGGCCATTCGTTTTCTATCTGTTTCTCATCCTCAACCAGCAAGAGAGCGAGCGGGCGGGCGGACGAAATATATGTATAAAAGAGAAATAAAAAAAGTTTTTTGCTCATTGTGTAACTCTAGACATTTTAAATAAAATCGACAAAACCCTTTTCCTATTCTCCTTGAAATCTTAGTAGAAAGAGGATGCTTAATTGTACCCCCAAAAGTTATGAAATGTAGACACCAAGGGCTGGAGCTGCAGAAATATTGCTCGACATAAAGAGAAAGTTGACAATTGGAAAGTTGAAGTCATCCCTCTTGTCATACTGTCTTGTGGTGGGTGTTTTGTCACTATGAATATTTATGCATAGATTTAAATATGAAAAATGTATAGCAGCCTCTCTGGTGACCTTTATTTCTTGTTTAGGTGGGTAAATCAGTGGAAGGGAATTGGCTATTTGATTGCTAGTGAACGATATCAGATCATCGATATATCTGAAGCTTCTTGGCCAAATTACGGAGCAGAAATTCTGATTCATATGCATAAAGAAACAGACCAGTAAGAAGGGGAGCGCATTAGTACCAGCCTTTAAATCTTTAAATAAATTGATGACATATTTCGAGTCACTTTGCTTTGGAAACTTTAATAAACACAACTCAAGAAAGTTCAAACTGACCTGGGTTTTTATATTTGTGTGTGCAATTGTTATAAAATTGAGATACCAATACTTTCAATTATTTGACGTCGGAATGAAAATTCAGGGAGAACAGTAGATGGGAAAACTCAGAAGAAATATGGACAGTTTCACATAAGAATATAGTAACGCCCTATGATAGTAGACAGAATAACAGGTTAATTAGGACAAAATATGATTTTTTATATTTCATTTGGAATATAATGCATTTTACGTTATTTGCGAAAATAAAGTTCAATAGTTATTTCTGTTATCTTTGTTTACACCGTTTGATTTGTTTGCGTATTTAGCATAATAATGTTTTAACAAATACCTTCCATCAAGAATGCCTCCACATGAGACACACCAGTGAAGTCAATTCTTGCACGGGAGACACGGGACACACCATTGAGACCCGTGAAGATCCGGGGTAGAATAGGTCTTCAGCAAACAATGCTTGCTGTAAAAGGCGACTATACTTGTCGTAAGAGGCGACTAACGGGATTGGGTGGTCAGGCTCGCTGACATGGTTGATGTTCATGATATCAATCACTGGATTGTCTGGTCCAGACTCGATTATTTACAGACCGCCTCCATATAGCTGGAATATTGATGAGTACGGCGTTAAACAATCAACCAACGACACACCAGTGAAGTGAATGCATACATATGAGACACACCAGTGAAGTCAATGTTTGCACAATAGTGAAATCAGAGATTACACTTTGGACAACCTACTAAAGTAGTGCTGACTCGTGACAAACACCAGTGAAGCAGCCAATGTATAAGACAAATGGCAGAGATATATTTTTGTATTTGTGACACATCGTGCATTGCCTCGTGTCTTCAACAGTTATATGTCCAATATCAACTTTCTGTGCGAACGTCAGCTACGGATGGGGGGACTGGGTGAAGATGGCTGGGACGTTTGTGATGATGACAGGCCCCGCCCCGCCCCTCCTTGTCTGGTGTACTCGGTCGGGTGAGTGGATGATTCAGAGGTTTAGAGTATGTGACGAGATCTCAAAACAGCATGCGAACGTTCACAATTATACATCATTGCTTTGACTACGAGGCTTTCCAAATGTTGCTGAAATAAACTGATTTGAATTATTAATTGAAACATATCTTATTGACAATGGATTAGGCACAAGTGACACACTTATGAGGCCTTCACCTATATACATTTCATTGTGATATGTGAATAATATATGTACAGTGCACAGACATTATATACAAGTAATACATATGACACATGGAGATATAAAACATAGAAAACACAATTCAAATGAGCAGTAGCTGGTGATAAATAATTCTTGTCACATGAAATTAGATTTCGAATATGTTTATTTCCACAATAGATTGATGAACATATAAAAAATTAAATTATTGGTTCTTTAAAGAGATTTTTGTTAACACTTAGACTATACTGGGGTGAGCCAATGTATTCATAATGCTGATAAAGAAAGATTGTCTTATTGAAGTATATTTTTGTTAGAAAAAAATGAAAAGTGAAAAGTATTTTCGCATAGTGAACCGCAGGAGCAAAAAAAAAGGTCCGACAAATTAACTCATCAGATTGCTGCCATTGTGTCTAAGTCTTTTGTGTAAAATATTTATTTCACGTTTTCTATAGCTGAAATAATATGGAGATCTTATAACATTTTGATAAATGTTTGTTTTAAATTCAGCTATAGAAGTACTTCATTTGTGAATTCCCCTGTTTTAATGAATCTATAATAAATGGCGTCATGATCAGGCAATAAATACTTACTTTTTGTGGAGATTTTGTCAGTGGTGGGTGTCGCCTGTTGGGCAGAACTTGCTTACCCTTTTCGCGAACACCTGGTGTCATCACTGATTTCCATCTAAATGTCACAGCTATTTTGCCCTTAACACCAAATGGAATCTATTTCGGTGGACGCTATATGTATTATTTGTTCTATGCTGTTCTCTCTTCACATGGATAAGGGGCGGTCGGATAGCCTAGTGGTTAAAGCGTTCGCTCGTCATGCCGAAGACCCGGGTTCGATTCCCGACCTGGGTACAATGTGAAAATCAATTTCTGGTGTCCCCCACCGTGATATTGCTGGAATATTGTTAAAAGCGGCGTTAAACTATACCCATTCACTCACATGGATAATAACAACAAATATGGCCCAAACCAAACTGTGTAACTTAGGTTAGGTGTGAATAACAGTATTTGGAGCATTAACACATACACGGTTTCACAAAGGTCCATTAATTAACGTCATTATTCCGCTCTGGTGTATAGTACATTATATCATATTGAAATGGTGTAATGGTTTGAACCAGCTCATGTTATAATAAAAAGTAACATCATTCCAGAACGTCACTTGGATCCACCTTTGATGACGACGTTCGGCGCCTCTACCGTTGTGATGTTGTTGCTTTGAGAACTCAGTAAGTAACGAAATGTGCCCACTTACCTGCAGTAAGTGCTAACCACTACAGGGGTTGAATGAGTGAGAGAATTGCGCAAGCAAGTGTGATGCATGTCTTAGACGTTTACCACTCGATCACGGGTATCGTGTTGAAACATCAGGTTTCTTGTACGCCAAACGAACGCAACTCTGCGGCGCCTTAGACGACTAGGCCAAACGTGTCCCCTCGGGGGTCTTGCTACTAAATATCCCTTTCTATTCGTTTTCGTGTTTTATCAATAATGGCCTCCGTGGTCATGTCTGGTTCGGCCAGGTTCCCAGCAGCCTATGCGTGCTATGATAGGCGACGTACTAGCTCGGGTATTCAGGCTCGGTGACTATGCTGATCGCATGAACGTTCCTCGTAATATCAAGCACTGGTTCGTCTGTCATACTCAGTAATAGTGCTTAGTCTGGTGTTTAAACAACAAACATATTCAATTATTAATCTAATATAGTTTTTATATTATATCTAATTCATGCATATCTTTCAAACAATTTGTCAGTAGATGGCATCTGGTATTTATATCCTTGAAGTTACAGGTTCAGCAACATGTTAGTCAATACGTTATGAAAAGCGTGTGTATTAATTTTAACTTGTGTATCGGAATCGTATACTGTGAAAACTACAGATTAACGAAGGACCCTATTAACATAGCTTTACTATTCAAAAGAAGTTAAAGAACACCTATTTTTTTCATATTGCTATAGTGAATCTGTCATGGTAATTTAAAAGAATCGGGTGTTCTTTAACTTATTTTGAGTAGTATGCATTCTTTATTCTTTGCTACTAAGATCTATAGTATAAGTGTCAGGATGACAACACAACATACATTCATAAAACTGTTGAAGTACTGTTAAACAACTGGAAAGGAAAGGAAAGGAAGAGAATTTATGAATGTCAACGTCTTTATTATGAGGAACACAACGTTTCGGAGTATATGTTTACTTCTTCATCAGGTGTGTATCACTTAAGAATTGACCTTCACTTTGTGTGAGTTCATTGGAGTATGAACCTTCATAGAGTGAGGGACAAACTGTATGAACGTCGGAGCTTGCGACGACGTTCATACAATGATTGGCCCTCACTCTATGAAGGTTCATACTCCAATGAACTCACACAAAGTGAAAGTCAATTCTTATAAAAAATTTATCACATATTCTTACCTCAAAGGATGTAGGCCAAGATCTAAACACAATTTTATTTAGTACGTGTGACTTCATGTTTACACTGACAGCCATACAACAACCAGCTATATCGCGGAGTAATATAGTTCCTCAAAAAGAGAGGTGACATGGGCGTATGAAGGCACAATTTGCTCTTCAGAAACATCTTACGCAGCACATGTTTTCAAATCATATTAGATGAGAAAGGTATAAGAACTACCTGAGTAAGTCAGTCACATTGACAGCGCGTCGTAATATATTTACATCAAGTACAAGACGTCAAAATGGCCGACACGATAAACGTGACGGGAGAGATTTCCGAAGTTGTTAATGAACCTGTGGCGGTTACATGTGTTAGTCATCATTGATCAACTGGCCGATCATTGAAAGGTGAATAAAGATGCGTCAAACAGACACCAAGGTAAATTCATAGATTGCTGGAGACGGTCAATGTCAGCCTAGACACGGATGGAGTCGATACTACGATATTTTAGATGTGCATTTCTTCGTTTGTTAGGATAGGCCGCAGCGAGGATATTCGTGAACAATCATGCAGTCACGCTCTCTGACATTTCTCAACGTATACTAAAACGCTGAGACCAAGAATAAAGGTTCTAAATGATCAGAAAGAACGCTTATGTATGTTTTCGTGGTAGGGAATTCCCAGGGGTTTCCCCAGGAATGTGGAAGTAGTCCGTCGGTGTTTACGTCATTTCAAGAACACGGTCTCGTGAAAAACGCATGAACGTCAAACTGTGTCGTTCATACACTTATGAACGTCAGTTTCGCGGTCATGTGACCGACCTCTCGTCCAATGGAAAAGTCGTACATCGTGTAATCTTCAAATTAAAAAATTATTTCTAAATGCCTTTCAAAGACTTGATACGCCATCAACATGGAGACGATGCAGTAACATCCATCACCCCGATGAAGGAGTAAGCATATACGCCGAAAAGTTGTGTTCCTCGACATAAAGAAGTTGACATCAATATATTCTCTTCTTTATGTGTCTCACTTCTAAATGCCTTTCAAGACTTGATACGACATCAACATGGAGACGATGCAGTAACATCCATCATCCCGATTAAGGAGTAAGCATATACGCCGAAAAGTTGTGTTCCTCGACATAAAGAAGTTGACATCAATATATTCTCTTCTTTATGTGTATCACTTCTAAATGCCTTTCAAAGACTTGATACGCCATCAACATGGAGATGAAGCAGTAACATCCATCACCTGTTGAAGGAGTAAGCATATACTCCGAAACGTTGTGTTCCTCATAACAAAGACGTATCATCCATCACCTGTTGAAGGAGTAAGCATATACTCCGAAACGTTGTGTTCCTCATAACAAAGACGTAACATCCATCACCTGTTGAAGGAGTAAGCATATACTCCGAAACGTTATGTTCCTCATAACAAAGACGTAACATCCATCACCTGTTGAAGGAGTAAGCATATACTCCGAAACGTTGTGTTCCTCATAACAAAGACGTAACATCCATCACCTGTTGAAGGAGTAAGCATATACTCCGAAACGTTGTGTTCCTCATAACAAAGACGTAACATCCATCACCTGTTGAAGGAGTAAGTATATACTCCGAAACGTTGTGTTCCTCATAACAAAGACGTAACATCCATTTATTCTCTTCTTTATGTGTATCACTTCTAAATGCCTTTCAAAGACTTGATACGCCATCAACATGGAGATGAAGCAGTAACATCCATCACCTGTTGAAGGAGTAAGTATATACTCCGAAACGTTGTGTTCCTCATAACAAAGACGTAACATCCATCACATGTTGAAGGAGTAAGTACATACTCCGAAACGTTGTGTTCCTCATAACAAAGACGTAACATTCATCACCTGTTGAAGGAGTAAGTACATACTCCGAAACGTTGTGTTCCTCATAACAAAGACGTAACATTCATCACCTGTTGAAGGAGTAAGTACATACTCCGAAACGTTGTGTTCCTCATAACAAAGACGTTACATCCATCACCTGTTGAAGGAGTAAGTACAAACTCCGAAACGTTGTGTTCCTCATAACAAAGACGTAACATCTATCACCTGTTGAAGGAGTAAGCATATTCTCCGAAACGTTGTGTTCCTCATAACAAAGACGTTGACATCCATTTATTCTCTTCTTTATGTGTATCACTTCTAAATGCCTTTCAAAGACTTGATACGCCATCAACATGGAGATGAAGCAGTAACATCCATCACCTGTTGAAGGAGTAAGTATATACTCCGAAACGTTGTGTTCCTCATAACAAAGACGTAACATCCATCACATGTTGAAGGAGTAAGTACATACTCCGAAACGTTGTGTTCCTCATAACAAAGACGTAACATCATCACCTGTTGAAGGAGTAAGTACATACTCCGAAACGTTGTGTTCCTCATAACAAAGACGTAACATTCATCACCTGTTGAAGGAGTAAGTACATACTCCGAAACGTTGTGTTCCTCATAACAAAGACGTAACATCCATCACCTGTTGAAGGAGTAAGTACAAACTCCGAAACGTTGTGTTCCTCATAACAAAGACGTAACATCTATCACCTGTTGAAGGAGTAAGCATATACTCCGAAACGTTGTGTTCCTCATAACAAAGACGTAACATCCATCACCTGTTGAAGGAGTAAGTATATACTCCGAAACGTTGTGTTCCTCATAACAAAGACGTAACATCCATCACCTGTTGAAGGAGTAAGTACATACTCCGAAACGTTGTGTTCCTCATAACAAAGACGTAACATCCATCACCTGTTGAAGGAGTAAGTATATACTCCGAAACGTTGTGTTCCTCATAACAAAGACGTAACATCCATCACCTGTTGAAGGAGTAAGTATATACTCCGAAACGTTGTGTTCCTCATAACAAAGACGTAACAACCATCACCTGTTGAAGGAGTAAGTATATACTCCGAAACGTTGTGTTCCTCATAACAAAGACGTAACATCCATCACCTGTTGAAGGAGTAAGTATATACTCCGAAACGTTGTGTTCCTCATAACAAAGACGTAACATCCATCACCTGTTGAAGGAGTAAGTATATACTCCGAAACGTCGTGTTCCTCATAACAAAGACGTAACATCCATCACCTGTTGAAGGAGTAAGTATATACTCCGAAACGTTGTGTTCCTCATAACAAAGACGTAACATCCATCACCTGTTGAAGGAGTAAGTATATACTCCGAAACGTTGTGTTCCTCATAACAAAGACGTAACATCCATCACATGTTGAAGGAGTAAGTATATACTCCGAAACGTTGTGTTCCTCATAACAAAGACGTAACATCCATATATTCTCTTCACTTCTAAATACCTTTCAAAGATTTGATACGACATCAACATGGAGATGATGCAGTAACATCCATCACCCCGATGAAGGAGTAAGCATATACTCCGAAAAGTTGTGTTCCTCGAAATAAAGAAGTTGACATCCATATATTCTCTTCCTTATGTGTATCACTTCTAAATGTCATTCAAAGACTTAACTGGAAAGTGCATGAGAGTAGCATAACCTTATAAATGTTGACCTTCTGTCGCTACTAGCCCTGCTGAACACTACCCTGGGCTGACGGTGATGAGGGCAGGACTGGGCGTTGTCTACACAGGGAACAGATGGGAATTTCTCACCCTCCGGACACTTCAGGGACGCCTCAATCAAACACATGTGAGTAGGGGTTCATAGTGCACCTGTTGTTTCACCTACAGCAGCGGTGTTAGTGTACACTCTATGGTATGGGTGCACACGTATGTCTATTGGTACACATTCTACGCTTTGATATAATTTGGGGAATTGAAC